TGTATAAATATAATAAAATTGCGCGTAAATGATTTTTTTTTTGTATTTATTTTAGCTTAAAACAAAAAATAATATTAAATTTATTTTTAAAAGTAATTGAAGGAAATTGGATGAGACAAAAAGAAAATAGTAAATCTTTTTATTAAGAATTAAATTTAATTTTTAAAAATTGACAACTTTTTGTTGTATTTTAGATGGATATATTTATTTTATCTTACACATTTAGATAAAATAAATAAATAATATAGAAAGAGTTACAAAAGCTTAGCCACCGGACAGGATTCGAATCTGCGACCTCTTTGCAGTTATTGTAAGCGATTTCGCTCAACATACATACAGGAGCTCTACCACTGAGCTAACGGGTCATCGCCTAATGCTTTTTCTAACCTAAACGTTTCAAATGCTGCTAGGTGAATCATCTTTACAATATTTTTAAATTTTCGGAAGTTTATGTAAGTTTATAAATTTTAATTTTATTCTCTAATAGGATAACATCAACATTCTTCATTAATCCAAAAATACATTTACAATTGAAAAAAAATAAATTTAAAAATAAATGTCAAATTATTGTGAATTCAACTTTAATCGAAAAAAACTTTTATAGGAAAATACAATTTAATATATTTATATCTTATTTCTTTCTTTAAAATTTTTATTTTAAAATTTACTTCCTCTTTTTTCAACTTAATCTCTTTTCAAATATTTTCAAAATTTAAATTAATAAAATAAGTTAAATCCTTTTAAAGGATATATTTTAAAAATTAAATCTGAAATTTTAAAATAAAAAAATAATTTTTGTAAATATTATAAAGTGCTTCATCCAAAATATTTAAAATTTATTTAATTAAAAATATTAACAAAAATTCTAATTATCTTAAAAAAAATTTAAATATATTCTTTTTATTTCTTTCATTCTTCAATTCCTTAATTTTTATTTTCTTTTGTTACGTTGACAACCAAAGTTAAATAAAAAAATAAGAGCTAATAATATTTAATTTCCATATAAAGTGTAAAACAATAAAAAATATAAAACTGTTTTTTTTTGGAATTAATAATCAAAAATTTGGAATTATTAAGAGAAAATTAGAAATAAAAAATAATATAAAATAAATAATTTATTAAATGAAAATTAGATGAAATTTGAAAATTAGATGAAATTTTTATTAGATGAAATTTAAATGAAAATTAGAAAATTAGAATTAAATGAAAATTAGAATTATTAAATGAAAATTAGAAATAAAAAATAATATAAAATAAATAATTTATTTGGTTGTATATAGAAATTATTTTAATTATTTATTTTTTAATTTAATTAAAATTAAATAATTAAATATTTAGTAAATACTCATAATTTTAAATTAAAAATAAAATATTTAAAAAATTTTTAGAGGGCGGTTAATATTAAAAATTTTTTCTAAAAAAATCGTTAAAGGGTGGGAAGGTGCGTGTTTATGGAAGGTGTGTGAATGTGCAAGCTGAAAAATAAATTTATATTAAATTTTATTATTAATAAAAAAATTTTTACTTCATTTTCTTTGTTTGATAAATTTTATTTTAAATAAAGGAATTAAATTATATAATTTGTTTTATAAAATATATTCCAAATATTTTGTAATTTTTAATTTATTTAATAAAATTTTTTGATTAAAAGGAATTTACTAATTTTATTTAAAAGAAAATCAAAGAGTAATTATCTAATTAATTTAAAAATTACCTTCCTTTAAATTAACCTCACTTTTAAATATTCGAATTATATTTATTTCGAAAATCCTCAAAGAATTATTTTTATAGAAATTTCTCCACTAAATTTAAATTTTCTTCAAACAATTTAGATTATTTAATTTTAAAAATTAAAATATTATGATGGAAACGAAACAAAATGGAGGAGTACAACAACCAACATTTCTCTCAAATACACAAAAAGGGAAGAGTGAAGAGCATATAAATACTAAAGTATTTTATTTAATAAAAAACTAAAAACGTCCAATCAAAGTTTATACGTCCAAACAAAATTTTATACGTGCAATAAAAAAATAAATTCAGAAATAATCAAAATAATTTTTATTTATTATAACGCCTTGCTCAAGGGCTAACAGAAATTCATTTAAAATATTAGTAATTTAAGAAACGATTTTAATGTTTTTACATTAAATACTGAACATTACAATTAAAGAACGATTTCTATATAAAGTTGCAGTACCATCACGTACCAGTTGCGTATCACTGGTTCTAAGAAGCATTCGAGTTAAACTATCCATATCTACAAATGAATCAACAAACTTCATAAAATTTGGACATGTGTAACAGCAGGCGTGAAGATATTTTCCTTCTGCCGCCTCAATTGAAACGAATGCGGTTAAATTATGTATATTTATTTTTAAGTATAAATGATAAAAATGTGATTGGACGTACATATAAACATTGATTGGACGTAAGTCGATTGGACGGATATTGTGTAATAGACCAAAAATTAATAGTGACTCGGAAAGTAATTCTCAAACATTTTTTAATTTTTAGGCAAAATTAACAGCTGCCGAAATATTGAAAAAATCGTTAAAAACAAAAAGTCATTCACAAACAGCAATTCGTGTTGGTCCTTTTGCTGCAATTCGTGAAGCAGAATTTGATAGACGTCGTCGACAGACTGGAAGTTCTTTAGATGATGATGAATTTGGAGATAATGAATTGAAGGCATCAATGAGCGAAGGAACATTTACAACAAATAATGATACAAAAACAAATAAAAATATAAATAGAGATGGAAAAAATTAAAGATCGAAAAGTTGCATCTTTTTTATCAATCAAATATAAAGTAAAATATCAGTCGATCTTATGCTTTATTATATATCAATTTGTAGCCCTAGATCTCCTCTATAATTAACAAGTGGATTTTCTAAAGTTGCATGCTTATTCTCATCTTAGTGCCTCTAGAATACCCTGACTTGGCAAGTAATTCTCAAGCTCTAGAGGAAAACTTTATAAAATATACAGATCACAAATAAATTCAAAAAATATCTATGTGATTCTTAATTTATGGGATTTCTATTACCAGAATATCAGTTCTGGTTCATCTTTATACACTAATTAAGAAGACCAAACGATAAAAAAAAAGCTAGAAATAAAAATAAAATTTGGGAGCGTGATGAGACTCAAATGGTTAAAAACCTAAAGGTTTAGGCTTCAAAAGGTTTAGGCTAAAATCTACCAGGTAACGAAAGAGTCTTAAAATATGGCATCAAAACGAAAGTTTTTGGGATATAACTTTTTTGTTTTTAAATCAATCCAAATAATTTTTGCTTTAATTAAAAGCTCTGGATGTGCTGGTTATTTTGTTCATAGAAATTGTTTAGTTTTACCGTCTTTCAAAAAAGTTAGGAGCCGTTAACTGCGAATAATCGTGATTTAACATACTTAGGCGGGTGTAACTTTCTAAGAAATGATCGGATCCTTTCATAAAGATAATAAAAAGAATAAAAACAAATATAGATTCTAATTGATAAAGAAAATTTCTGGAAATGATCGAAATAAAAGTTATGGCATAGAAAAAGGCGTTTCGATGCTATGTCGCCGAGACTCTATTGTCAAGCAAGCCTAAAGGTTTAGGTTAGAGTCCGGCAAAATCGCATTCCCGGGATCCCGGAACGGGATTTTTTTCAAAATTTTGTACGGGACGGGATCCCGCGGGATTAATCCCGTAAATCCCGGTAATCCCGTTTTCAAATTTACCGGGATCCCGCCGGGATTCCGGGATTTTCATAAAAATTTTTTTTAATTATAAATATGTTGAATATTGGCGGATTTGGAAATAATATCGGTGGATTTCGACGGATTAGGGAGGAATTAATTGATATAAGAGGATTAAGAGGGATATCAGTGGATTAAAAGAGATTAAGAGGATTTGAATGCTTATAGGTGGATTTAGGGTGATATCGGTATATTTGGAGTGGTAAAGGGTGATTTGAAGAACGGTGGGTTAGATCGAATATAGCGGATTTAGAGGCTCAACTGGATTTGAATGGATATATGGGGATTATTCCTCTAATCCCTCAATATACTCTTAATCCTCAGATCCTCGATATACCTCTTAATCCATAAATCCCTGATACCCCCTATTATCCTCCAACTCCCTCTTAATCTGGTGTTAATCCCAAATTCATGATATCCTTTTCTAATACCCCAACATCATATATCTCTTAATCCTCCGGAATTGAACTTAAGACGATTTAAACCTTACAAACCAACGTACACCTCATAATCCCTCTATATCTCTGTTAATCCCAAAAATCCATTCTTATTACTCGTAATCCATCCACCACAGGCAAAACTTTTCGAATTTTTCTTTTTTTGGAAGGCTAAGAAGCCAGCTTTTTTCATTTTTTAGCGCCGCAGGTTAAAATTTTGAGAATTTTTGAAGAGAAAGTCACCAAATTTCTTCTTTTTTCAGCGCCGCAGGCATAAATTTTGAGAATTTTGGACGGCCAAGAAGCTAGATTTCTTTCTTTTTCAGCTCCGCAGGCAGTTTACTGGAGTAATTATAAATCCCGTAAATTTGAAAAAAATTCCCGGGATCCCGGAACGGGATTTGGTTTTCAAAATTCGACCGGGACGGGATCCCGCGGGATTAATCCCGTAAATCCCGGAATCCCGGTAATCCCGTTTTCCGCGAAAAACCCGGGATTCCGGGACGGGATCCCATAAAATCCCGTACGGGGTCCCGTCCCGTGCCGGTCTCTAGTTTAGGTTTGTGCTGAGACTGAAAATAAATGTAAAGACAAAAGAGTCTTGCTGACTTTTTGACATAATTCAAGTCAATTAATTGTTTTCATCTGTTTCTTTGCAGATTATTTATGCCATTATAACATAACAACAGCATTTCATCATTTTACTAAACAAAACCGAAAAATTAAGGAAAATTTAAAAAATTTTAAATTTTTATTAAAAATTATTTTAACCACCGTTCGTTGATTTAATCATTTTATCTTTTAAGCTTTAAGAGAAAATCTTAAATAATTTTATAAAAACAATGGCAGACGATGGAGTTGTGCTGGACGACATTGCTATGGATGAGACTGCTCCAGATGCCGAATGTAATTTTATTTTTATAATTTTAATTAAAATCTTATTTACAGTGGATGAAATTCGAAAGGGAGTCTCTAAAAGGAAGGGACGTGGCTTTGAAGGATCTCAAAAGAGTAATGTGAAGGAATATGAAACGCTTGGTGATGATGGTTTTTATGGGCCGCAGCGTTCTGTTGAGGTTTTTTTTAATTTTTAGAAGATTTGTAATTAATATTTATTGTTAGGGGTGGATAATTTTTGTTACAAATGTCCATGAAGAAGCGCAGGAGGAAGATGGTATTTTTAAATATAATTTTTTAAAAAGAATTTGATTTTTAGTAAAAGATCTCTTCAAAGATTATGGGAATGTATTAAATATGCATTTAAATCTTGATCGACGAACTGGATACTTTAAAGGTTATGCAATTGTTCAATTTGAGACGCAAAAGGAAGCAGCTGATGCTATTGCTGGATGTTTGTTAATTTTTGTTATATGTAGGAACCTAAGATTTTAAATCCCCTTTTAAAACTTGAAATTTCTACTAGAGATCAAGCTGGGTCTGGACCAAGGCCTGGGTTTTTCCTGTACCCAGAGTCCAGGCTCAGGCCTTTTTTGATTTTCCTGGGTTTTTCCTGGACTACAGGACCCGGCCCAGGCCAATAAATCAAACCCAGGAACACGTCCAGGCTTTTTAAAAATCTCGATCTCTAATTTCTACTAATCTCTATTTTGCTTAAATTTCAATTTTTTAAAATAATTTTAGTGAATGGATATGACTTTCTTGGTCAAGAATTATCAGCCGATTGGTGCTTTGTTAAAGGAGGTCGTGACAAGAGACGTTAAAAACAAAAATTTTTTGATTAATTTCTCTTACATATATACACTCATTTTATTTTTTAAATGATTTGGTTGAGTGCATCTTTGGAAGATATCTTGATTTTTTTGTTGAAATTTTGGTTTCAGTTGGTGGTGACATTAATTTTTTGAAATGTTTAAATTTTTTGATTTTAATTATTTGATTAGAAACTCAATAAATCGCCAACTTTTTGCTGATCTTTTTATTTACAATTAAAATTGAATCTTAAAATAAATATTTACCTACAAGTTAAAATGCTTGTTTTATTTTTATTAATTAGTTAATTTTAGTAGTTGGATAGTTTGACATTTTTATTGTTAGATCATTGAATGCATTTTTTAATCTAAAATGGTTTATGGAACACCTTTTGAGCAGTTGGAGGATGAAGCAAGTAAGTAACAAATTGAAAATATATTTTTTGAGCCAATAAATTTGATTGGGGGAGTTCTCCATTTAAACTCATTAAAGGGCTAAATTTTCGTTATCAAAGCACGGCTTTTATTTTTTGAGAATAATTACAAGATAAATACTAATTGCAAACAAAAATTTAATATTTTATCTTTTAACAGAATCAGCTGTTTCAAAGAAACCAAAAGGCATTCAAGATGAAATTGTGACAGACGAACGTGGTCGACGTCGCCTCCATGGAGCTTTTACTGGAGGCTTTTCTGCTGGATATTTTAATACTGCTGGGTCCAAACATGGTTGTCTTATTATTTTAATTTTAAAAATCAAAAAATAGGTTGGGTGCCACAAACATTTAAATCTACTAGAACTGAACGTGGCGAACGACTTGAACAAATGGCAGAGGATTTTATGGATGAAGAAGTAACTTTTAATTTATTGTTAATTTTCTTAAAATTATTTTTGAGGATTTTGGCGAATTTGGAATTGCTTCGCGAAAGTACAACAACCTTTGCTCACTTGGTTGCTACAACTGTACTTTCTCGTGGTATTACTGAATTGGGAATCTATCCGACTGTTGACCCGTTGGACTCTACTTCTCGAATTATGGGTCCTAATATTGTTGGAAATCGTCATTATGGTTAAATTTTAACTATTTTAATTGTTTAAATATATTTTTTCCATTAAATGTTGCTCATGGTGTTCAACAAAATTCTCAAGACTACAAATCGCTTCAGGTTATTATTGCCTCCTTGGAATGGGTGAACTCTTCGAAGGCGATAAATTGACTGTCTCGCCGTGCTCGAAAGATTCAACTTTATCTTTCTCAGCCCTTCTAAGTTGCTGAAGTCATTACTGGACATAAGGGTAAATTCTTCAGTCTTGAACAGATTATTGATGGATTTGAAAAGATTTAGAGAGGTTTTTTCAGATTTATTTATTTTAATTAAAACAAATTTTTAGGAGAGATGGAGATCACATCCCGGAGGTGGAATTTTATATGCGGGAGATATAGATGATTCCACAAAAAGGCAGAGGAACTGGCGAAGAAATAGAGGATAGATTTGTTAAATAAAATTTTGAAAAAAGAAGATAGGCTGAATTTCTCTAGAAAATATAGATTAGATTAAAAATTTTTGTTTGTTTTTATTATAAATTTGGATCTTTTTCCGAGTAGCTTTTTTGTTAACAAAATTTTTCTATGTTAAAGTTGTTTGAGTTGAATATTCTTTTGGTGTTTAGATCTTCCAATCTCTAATATAGGATCATTTCTAAGCAATTGAAAGCTTTGTGTTGGCTAGTTAACCTTTTCTTCTTCACTTTAATAATAGCTAGTTGAATTTTACTAGGACAAGTTTAATTTGTGAGCTTCTCCTTTAAACCGAGGATGATGGAGGATAATTAGTTCGACAACCAATTAGCTATATTCACGTGTTCAAAATATCATATTTATCGAAAATAAGTAAATTAACCTGTAAAATTTTACGCTTATGTACGAAATGAAAATATTTTCACTGTGGACGAAGTGTACTATGGACGTGTTTCATTTTGGCGAAGTGTTATTATTTTTCGAAGTATAAATTCACGAAAGTTATAAACTTCATCGTTTATTATTCACATGAATTTATTTCCATTTCTTTTTTGAAAACACCTTCAAATCAATAAAAATTTCTTTTAATGATTATTTTAAGTATTTTTATTATTTAGCCAATTATATTTTATTTAAAATGTTCAATCTTATTCAAAAAATTATTCTAAGCAAACCTGCAAAAATGATCAATTCATTTGCAATGGCGCGTGATTTGAAAATGATCGTCCGGTATAATCTTTAGATTTTAAAATCTTTAAAAAATTTTTAATTGAAATTTAGTCCAAATGCTTTGGCCATTCGTCCGTTTCAAAGCAGCGTTTTGCTCTTCTCCTCTTCAAGTTCAACAGTTCCTGAGGGTGTTAATGTGCGTGCCCGTGGCTATCCGACTTATCTCCATAAGGTTTCAATTTGAACTCTGATCGTCATTATTATATTCGATTTAATTTTTAGGGGCCTTCGTCTTTGGTTAGTTGGACAACCGTTCTATCTGCCTGGACGAGTTTCGTCGTCATTTCGCTGACTACTTTGGCTCTTGCCATAACAGGAGCGATTTTCTTCTTCAATACATTTGAGAAGCTGGCTAAGAAAGAAGATCTCAAAGCAATGGATCTCAAGCTTGAACGCTATGGACGTGAAGGAGTTGCAACAAAGGAGGATGTCAAAGGAACAAAGGAGGATGTCAAAGAAATTTTAAAAATTTTGGAGAAGAAAAATTGAATTTTTGGTGATTTCTAGCATCCACAAAATTGATGCTTTTTTTTGTTAAAATAAAATTTGTTATCTAATTTTGGATTGATTCATTGTTAGGGTTCTCAAGTTCCGCGTTGATTTGAATTATTTCTTTTTTTGGTTATTAGTCCACTAGCACCAAGTTGATTGAGTCCTTTGTATTTCATTGCTCAACAGGTCGATGCATTTTTTAAATTGAATACATTTAATTTTTAAATTTTTTGTGTTTACTCCTTTTTTCGTTGTTGGGGATTTCGCTGTTTCTGCATTTATCCGAGATTTGATTAGTTTGTCTCGATTTTATCTTTATCCTCTATTTTGTCTCAGATTATTTTTTAGCCTGCCCCCCTCTCTCTTATCGGTTGTAGAGACCGGCATGGGAGGGATCCCGCGCGGGATTTTGCGGGATACCGCTCCCGCAATCCCACACTTTCGATTTGCGGGAAATTCCGCGAGAGTTAATTATTCCCGCGGGAGTTATTCCCGCAAGTTTTTTTAAAATTTACTCTCGCATGATTTTTCCGGTCTTTTTAACTAACGTTTTATCCTTTCATTTTAGGCCTAACTACAGTTTCCGTACCAGGCTCAGAATTGGACGATTTATATGTCATTCGAAAGAGCTCGTCGAGCTGAGTCGAACGACACCAAAATTATTCAGCGGAAAAAATTCTGAGCCGAGTTACAGGCCCCCGAAAATCGAAAAACCATAGGGGGGACCAAGCTGATTTTTGGGGTGAAAAATTTGAATATGCAATTAATAGCTCATTTGAAAGAGCTCTTCAAGCCGAGTCGAATGACACCAAAATCGCCGTGATTGGTCAAGTTTGTTCAAAGTTATGACAAAAAAACTAACAACGTAAACCTATGGGGCGACGGCGAGGCGCTTGTGCAAAACTCCGCGCTTCGCGCGGAGTTTTGCGGCACGCGCCTCGCGGGGAGTCTACGGGCTCTGGGTCTGGGCTTGTAACTTAATCCTATTCCAATTATCGCTGTGATGGGCATGCCAGCTTCCTTCGCAGCAGCAAGAACATCCACGGAGAACAAAGGTAAGGAGCTAAAACAAACGAGCATTACTTTGTCAAATCAATTCTGATTTCATTGATTTTGGTGTCATTCGACTCAGCTCGATGAGCTCTTTCGAATGAGGTATAATTTGCATATTCGAATTTTTCACCTCCAGAAAACAGCTTGGTCCCCCCTATGGTTTTTTGAACTTTAGTGGTCTGTAACTCGGCTCAGAATTTTTTCCGCTGAAAAATTTTGGTGTCATTCGACTCAGCTCGACGAGCTCTTTCGAATGACATATAAATCGTTCAATTCTGAGCCTGGTACGGAAACTGTAGTTTAGCCTCATTTTATCCTTTAAGCTTTAACGGAAAATTAAAAATAATTTTATAAAAACAATGGCGGACGATGGAGTTGTGCTGGACGACATTGCTATGGATGAGACCGCTCCAGATGCTGAATGTAATTTTATTTTTATAATTTTAATTAAAATTTTATTTTCAGAGGACGAAATTAGAAAGGGAGTCTCTAAAAGGAAGGGACGTGGCTTTGAAGGATCTCAAAAGAGTAATGTGAAGGAATATGAAACGCTTGGTGATGATGGTTTTTATGGGCCGCAGCGTTCTGTTGAGGTTTTTTTTAATTTTTACAAAATTTGTAATTAATATTTATTGTTAGGGTTGGATAATTTTTGTTACAAATGTCCATGAAGAAGCGCAGGAGGAAGATGGTATTTTTAATATAATTTTTTAAAAAGAATTCTTTTAAATTTTTAGTAAAAGATCTCTTCAAAGATTATGGAAATGTATTAAATATGCATTTAAATCTTGATCGACGAACTGGCTACTTTAAAGGTTATGCAATTGTTCAATTTGAGACGCAAAAGGAAGCAGCTGATGCTATTGCTGGATGTTTGTTAATTTTTGTTATATGTAGGAATCTAAGATTTCAAATCCAATTTAAAATTTGAAATTTCTACTAGAGATCAGGCTGGGCCTGAACCAAGGCCTGGGGTTTTCCTGGACTACAGGCCCAAAACCCGGCCCATGCCAATAAATCAAACCCGGAACCCAGGGGGGAACTTATATGGTTTGGGTACTCTTTTTTAGCCACGCCCTTTTTTCCTTTTCCTTCATCAATCAACCTTAATATGGACAGAATGGTCAGCCTTTCTTTCTTCCTCGATTTTACTTAACTTTTCCTGTGGCATTTTCAGTGAGAGACATTAACAATGAAAAGATTAATTTTCCTTTCCAATTTCACCAAAATTGAATTAACATTTGAATCAATATTCTTATTTTTATCTATTTCAATTATTTAAATGCCAATAGGTATCCCGGTTCTACGTTTTGGAACTAATGGTCCCGTATTTTATTGTGTTTTCCAGTTTTTGCATGTTTAAAATCATATTTTTTACAAAATGCCGACCGTTTTACCTCTTTTTAGAAATTTTTGGACCCCAGTAATTCAGCTCAGAGATCTCACGGACCGAGTTTAGTGCCATACGTCTCAGCCCAGCTCTATGAGTCATCCGAGTCAGCTCTATTTCTCTCTTTATTTTAAACAAAAAATTGACCTCAACTCAATTGATTGATGGTTGAGAGGGAAAAAGAGTAAAAGAATAATGATCGAAAAGGAAAAAAGGGCGTGGCTAAAAAAAGAGTACCCAAACCATATAAGTTCCCCCAGGGGAATCCATTCAAAAATCTTGATCTCTAATTTCTACCAATCTCTTATTTTGCTTAAATTTTAATTTTTTAAATAATTTTAGTGAATGGCTATGACTTTCTTGGTCAAGAATTATCAGCCGATTGGTGCTTTGTTAAGGGAGGTCGTGACAAGAGACGTTAAAAAACGAATTTTTTCGATTAATTTCTCTTAAGTATATACACTCATTTTATTTTTTAAATGATTTGGTTGAGTGCATCTTTACAAGATATTTTGATTTTTTTGTTAAAATTTTGCTTTCTGTTGGTGGTGACATTAATATTTTGAAATGTTTAAATTTTTCGATTTTAATTATTTGATTAAAAACTCGATAGATCGCCAATTTTTTGCTGATTTTTTTATTTACAATTAAAATTGAATCTTGAAATGAATATTTACATACAAGTTAAAATGCTTGTTTTATTTTTATTGATTATTTAATTTTATTAATTTTTTTTGTTAGATTTAAATCATTGAATGTATTTTTTAATCTAAAATGGTTTATGGAACACCTTTTGAGCAGTTGGAGGATGAAGCAAGTAAGTAGCAAATTGAAAATATATTTTTTGAGCCAATAAATTTGATTGGGGGAGTTCTCCATTTAAACTCATTAAAGGGCTAAATTTTCGTTATCAAAGCACGGCTTTTATTTTTTGAGAATAATTACAAGATAAATACTAATTGCAAACAAAAATTTAATATTTTATCTTTTAACAGAATCAGCTGTTTCAAAGAAACCAAAAGGCATTCAAGATGAAATTGTGACAGACGAACGTGGTCGACGTCGCTTTCATGGAGCTTTTACTGGAGGCTTTTCTGCTGGATATTTTAATACTGCTGGGTCCAAACATGGTTGTTTTATTATTTTAATTTAAAAAATCAAAAAATAGGTTGGGTGCCACAAACATTTAAATCTACTAGAACTGAACGTGGCGAACGACTTGAACAAATGGCAGAGGATTTTATGGATGAAGAAGTAACTTTTAATTTATTGTTAATTTTCTTAAAATTATTTTTGAGGATTTTGGCGAATTTGGAATTGCTTCGCGAAAGTACAACAACCTTTGCTCACTTGGTTGCTACAACTGTACTTTCTCGTGGTATTACTGAATTGGGAATCTATCCGACTGTTGACCCGTTGGACTCTACTTCTCGAATTATGGGTCCTAATATTGTTGGAAATCGTCATTATGGTTAAATTTTAACTATTTTAATTGTTTAAATATATTTTTTCCATTAAATGTTGCTCATGGTGTTCAACAAAATTCTCAAGACTACAAATCGCTTCAGGTTATTATTGCCTCCTTGGAATGGGTGAACTCTTCGAAGGCGATAAATTGACTGTCTCGCCGTGCTCGAAAGATTCAACTTTATCTTTCTCAGCCCTTCTAAGTTGCTGAAGTCATTACTGGACATAATGGTAAATTCTTCAGTCTTGAACAGATTATTGATGGATTTGAAAAGATTTAGAGAGGTTTTTTCAGATTTATTTATTTTAATTAAAACAAATTTTTAGGAGAGATGGAGATCACATCCCGGAGGTGGAATTTTATATGCGGGAGATATAGATGATTCCACAAAAAGGCAGAGGAACTGGCGAAGCAATAGAGGATAGATTTGTTAAATAAAATTTTGAAAAAAGATAGGTTGAATTTCTCTAGAAAATATACATAGATTAAATTAAAAAATTTTTGATTGTTTTTATTATAAATTTGGATCTTTTTCCGAGTAGATTTTTTGTTAACAAAATTTTTCTATGTTGAAGTTGTTTGAGTTGAATATTCTTTTGGTGGTTAGATCTTCCGATCTCTAATATAGGATCATTTCTAAGCAATTGAAAGCTTTGTGTTGGCTAGTTAACCTTTTCTTCTTCACTTTAATAATAGCTAGTTGATTTTATTGGGACAAGTTTAATCTGTGAGCTTCTCCTTTAAACCGAAGATGATGGAGGATAATTAGTTCGACAACCAATTAGCTATATTCACGTGTTCAAAATAACATATTTATCGAAAATAGGTAAATTAACCTGTAAAATTTTACGCTTATGTACGAAATGAAAATATTTTCAATGTGGACGAAGTGTACTGTGGACGTGTTTCACTTTGGCGAAGTGTGTATTATTTTTCGAAATATCAATTCGTAAAGTTATAAACTTTCGTCGTTTATTGTTTAAATGAACTTATTTCCATTTTTTTTGAAAACTCCTTCGAATCAATAAAAATTTCTTTTAATGATTATTTTAAGTATTTTTATTATTTAGCCAATTCTATTTTATTTAAAATGTTCAATCTTATTCAAAAAATTGTTCTAAGCAAACCTGCAAAAATGATCAATTCATTTGCAATGGCGCATGATTTGAAAATGCTCGTCCGGTATAATCTTTAGATTTCAGAATCTTTAAAAAATTTTAATTAAAATTATTTAGTCCAAACATTTTGGCAAGTCGTCCGTTTCAAATTAGCGTTTTGCGCTTCACCTCTTCAAGTTCATCAGTTCCTAGCGGTGCTAATTTTCGTGGCCGCAGCTTTCCGACTCATCTCCAAAAGGTTTCAATTTGAACTCTGATCGTCATTATTATATTCGATTTAATTTTTAGGGGCCTTCGTCTTTGGTTAGTTGGACAACCGTTCTATCTGCCTGGACGAGTTTCGTCGTCATTTCGCTTTTGGCTCTTGCCATAACAGGAGCGATTTTCTTCTTCAATACATTTGAGAAGCTGGCTAAGAAAGAAGATCTCAAAGCAATGGATCTCAAGCTTGAACGCTATGGACGTGAAGGAGTTGAGAAAATGGCAACAAAGGAGAATGTCAAAGAAATTTTAAAAATTTTGGAGAAGAAAAATTGAATTTTTGGTGATTTCTAGCATCCACAAAATTGATGCTTTTTTTTTTGTTAAAATAAAATTTGTTATCTAATTTTGGATTGATTCATTGTTAGGGTTCTCAAGTTCCGCGTTGATTTGAATTATTTCTTTTTTTGGTTATTAGTCCACTAGCACCAAGTTGATTGAGTCCTTTGTATTTCATTGCTCAACAGGTCGATGCATTTTTTAAATTGAATACATTTAATTTTTAAATTTTTTGTGTTTACTCCTTTTTTCGTTGTTGGGGATTTCGCTGTTTCTGCATTTATCCGAGATTTGATTAGTTTGTCTCGATTTTATCTTTATCCTCTATTTTGTCTCAGATTATTTTTTAGCCTGCCCCCCTCTCTCTTATCGGTTGTAGAGACCGGCATGGGAGGGATCCCGCGCGGGATTTTGCGGGATACCGCTCCCGCAATCCCACACTTTCGATTTGCGGGAAATTCCGCGAGAGTTAATTATTCCCGCGGGAGTTATTCCCGCAAGTTTTTTTAAAATTTACTCTCGCATGATTTTTCCGGTCTTTTTAACTAACGTTTTATCCTTTCATTTTATCCTTTAAGCTTTAACGGAAAATTAAAAATAATTTTATAAAAACAATGGCGGACGATGGAGTTGTGCTGGACGACATTGCTATGGATGAGACCGCTCCAGATGCTGAATGTAATTTTATTTTTATAATTTTAATTAAAATTTTATTTTCAGAGGACGAAATTAGAAAGGGAGTCTCTAAAAGGAAGGGACGTGGCTTTGAAGGATCTCAAAAGAGTAATGTGAAGGAATATGAAACGCTTGGTGATGATGGTTTTTATGGGCCGCAGCGTTCTGTTGAGGTTTTTTTTAATTTTTACAAAATTTGTAATTAATATTTATTGTTAGGGTTGGATAATTTTTGTTACAAATGTCCATGAAGAAGCGCAGGAGGAAGATGGTATTTTTAATATAATTTTTTAAAAAGAATTCTTTTAAATTTTTAGTAAAAGATCTCTTCAAAGATTATGGAAATGTATTAAATATGCATTTAAATCTTGATCGACGAACTGGCTACTTTAAAGGTTATGCAATTGTTCAATTTGAGACGCAAAAGGAAGCAGCTGATGCTATTGCTGGATGTTTGTTAATTTTTGTTATATGTAGGAATCTAAGATTTCAAATCCAATTTAAAATTTGAAATTTCTACTAGAGATCAAGCTGGGCCTGAACCAAGGCCTGGGGTTTTCCTGGACTACAGGCCCAAAACCCGGCCCATGCCAATAAATCAAACCCGGAACCCAGGGGAATCCATTCAAAAATCTTGATCTCTAATTTCTACCAATCTCTTATTTTGCTTAAATTTTAATTTTTTAAATAATTTTAGTGAATGGCTATGACTTTCTTGGTCAAGAATTATCAGCCGATTGGTGCTTTGTTAAGGGAGGTCGTGACAAGAGACGTTAAAAAACGAATTTTTTCGATTAATTTCTCTTAAGTATATACACTCATTTTATTTTTTAAATGATTTGGTTGAGTGCATCTTTACAAGATATTTTGATTTTTTTGTTAAAATTTTGCTTTCTGTTGGTGGTGACATTAATATTTTGAAATGTTTAAATTTTTCGATTTTAATTATTTGATTAAAAACTCGATAGATCGCCAATTTTTTGCTGATTTTTTTATTTACAATTAAAATTGAATCTTGAAATGAATATTTACATACAAGTTAAAATGCTTGTTTTATTTTTATTGATTATTTAATTTTATTAATTTTTTTTGTTAGATTTAAATCATTGAATGTATTTTTTAATCTAAAATGGTTTATGGAACACCTTTTGAGCAGTTGGAGGATGAAGCAAGTAAGTAGCAAATTGAAAATATATTTTTTGAGCCAATAAATTTGATTGGGGGAGTTCTCCATTTAAACTCATTAAAGGGCTAAATTTTCGTTATCAAAGCACGGCTTTTATTTTTTGAGAATAATTACAAGATAAATACTAATTGCAAACAAAAATTTAATATTTTATCTTTTAACAGAATCAGCTGTTTCAAAGAAACCAAAAGGCATTCAAGATGAAATTGTGACAGACGAACGTGGTCGACGTCGCTTCCATGGAGCTTTTACTGGAGGCTTTTCTGCTGGATATTTTAATACTGCTGGGTCCAAACATGGTTGTTTTATTATTTTAATTTAAAAAATCAAAAAATAGGTTGGGTGCCACAAACATTTAAATCTACTAGAACTGAACGTGGCGAACGACTTGAACAAATGGCAGAGGATTTTATGGATGAAGAAGTAACTTTTAATTTATTGTTAATTTTCTTAAAATTATTTTTGAGGATTTTGGCGAATTTGGAATTGCTTCGCGAAAATTTCGAACAAAATCTGATTTTATGGACACATTGGCTGCACCCGGCGAAGAGCGTTTATTCGCATGGGAAAGAGCTGGAACGTCGACTAGTAATTTTGTTGGGAATGAAGGAAGTCTGGCAAATAAATTAAATTCTTTACTTCGACCTGTGAAGTAAAAGAAATTTTTTAAATTTAAAATTAAAATATTTTTCAGTGATTCAATAGGAATACGTATTCTTCGCAAAATGGGTTGGCGACCAGGAAAAGGAGTTGGTGCAAAAATGACTCGCCGCGCATTAGAGAGACAGAAATGTATTTTTAATATTATTTTCTAACTAAAAGTTATTTTTTAAGTAATTGATGCAAAAAATTCTGGGAAAGAGGCTGAATTTGATGAAGAAACTGTTCGAGATATTGAAGAAATAATTCCAACAGCAGAATTTTCTCCAGATGATATTAAACCCTTGGAAATTTGTCAAAAAGAAGATGTTCATGGAATGGGTTATAAACCTTTACAGGAAATTGGTGTTCTTTCAGAGAAATATGGAAGAGTAACTGCTTCATTGAAGAAAACTAAATGTAGTGGAAAAGGAATTAGAGGGCAGGTAAATGATGAATTTTTTTTAAATTTTAATGGGTGGCTTGCTTGTCCCATGGCCTTGTCCCAATTCAACCCTCTAAAGGAAATCGACTAACTATCTTCCGATTTTGGTAAAAATTCCACCTATTGTAAAATTCCTCTTTTACATTCTTTGCTATTTTTCTCTCTAAAATATTTTTAAAAAGGCATTTGGTGTTGGTGCATTTGAAGAGGATGATGAAGATATTTATACTAATTATGATTTGACACAATACGATTTTGAAGTTGGTTCTACTCAATCAACACAACTTAATGTGCCTAAATGTTAGTGTTTTTGTTATTTAATTTTTAATTAATTTTTTTAGTTGATTCAACTTTCATTCCATCATCTAGCACTATGCAAGGCAAAAATTCGTTAAAATCTCAGAAATTTTTTGTTGCTGATACACCTCCTCCTGGCTGGCGGCCAAGTACAAACAGAACAAAATCATTACTTTTTTCTGGAAGAAAGGAAATTTCTAAAAAATTACCTGAAGCTATTGCAAAAATTGGCAATCAATTAACTCCCTTCCAAAGGGCTAAACTTCTTGGGGAGCGTGATCATTCAGTGATGGAAATGTTAAGTAATGAACAGAGAGCTAAATTAAAAATAAATAATTTTGTTATTTCTGATGGGTCTAAAAATGATAATGTAATGAATTTTTGAAATAATTTTTAAAGATTATTTAATAGAGAGAACATCATTCAAAACATATTCATGATCGTCACAGAATGCATCATGGTTTAACAGCACAGCCATTTGAAGAGGAGCCATTAAAGGCTCATAGATTTCGTCAATATGTTAGCTATCTTAAAAGAGGTAAAGTTATAATTTTGAATATTTTAATTATTTTTTTTGTTATTTATCAGGTATTCCATTTATTCAACCTCCAGAAATGACACTTTTACAATGGGAAAGTGAAAAAGCAGACTTTGAAGAAGCACTCCCATCTGAGTTACGTGTTCTTCTTAAAGATGTTCAAGAAAGACAAAAGCCTCTAGCCAGACTGGATTTTGCTCGCCCAATAGCTGAACATTTAAAAAATCGCTTTGCGCGTGAATCTGGTGTAGATAAAGAGGATTATGAGGAACAAATAAAACATGAAGTGAGTTTGTTTCTTTTAAAGAATATATTCCTTTTTACTAATTATTAATTTAATTTAGTCCTCCATAAAGTCTAATCCACAACTAGAAGCTGTTGGTTCTAATCAGTTTGGGACTGCTACCCGTCAACTTCATGAATGGCATCCTGCTCCCGACCTATGCAAACGTTTTAATATCTCTAATCCATACCCAGATTCTCAAATACTTGGTGTTCCTGGATTGAGTGGACAACGTTATGGAGGCCAAAAGGATTATTCTTCTGAATATTCTTTAATTGAATTAGCTGGAAATTTGGGAGGGAAAAGTTCAACAGATGGGCAACATAGGAGGCATCCTTCTCGTTTTGATCAAACATCCGTAAATGAACAACCCCAGTCTATACCATTAATAAAAAATGAAGTGAAGGAAACAACTGAAGAGGTGAATTTGTTGATAAATTTTTTAATTAAAAATTTTAATTATTTAGATAAATTCTCAAAAGAAAATTGAGGAGTTTGCCCCAATAGTTTTATTATCAGCTATTTTTGGAGATGACGATATTGAAGATGATGAAATTCAAAAAGAAGATGAAGACGAAGAAGATGAAGAGGCACTTATTCATTTACCAAAGAAAAAACAGGAAAAAGAAATTAAAAAAGAAGACGAACAAAAACAAGAAAGGCCAATTATTTCAAAAGAAAGTATTATTACAATTTTGGATATTGTAGAGGATGATAATGTTTATGGACCAGCAATGCCTCCAAATGAATTTTTGGAAGAAAAATGCAATCAAGTATTTATTATTTCCTTAGCTTTTTAATAATTTAATAATAATTTTAGGAGAATAATTTTCAATTAGAAATAAAAAATGGTTCTTCTGGTAATGATATTATAACAATTGAAAGTGAAATTGATGATGATAGTGAGGATAGTGATGATAGTTCTGATTCGGAAGAAGAAGAGAGAAGGAGACGTAAGAAAGAGAAAAAAAGGAAGAAGAAAATGAAGAAAAAAGAAAAGAAACTTGAAAAAAAGAAGAGACGTCTTGAGAAAAAGAAACATTAGAAGAATTTTATTTTTTTAATTTTCATTTTAATATTTTATTAAATTATTTAAAAATAGAGGACATAAAAATCAACCAAATTTTTCAATCGAAGGAACTCTTCTTAAATTCATTAAAAGAGTTTATTTTTTACATTCGACTTTTTTACTCAAAATATAGCCAGATGACTTGTAATTGCCTTGTTTTTAAGTCTTAAAGATAAAAAATCACTTGGATAACTACTTACATATAACCTTTTCAAAGCTCTTAGAGCACATTTGACGGAAGTAAAAAAGCGCAATACTTCACAACAATATTGATTACAACAATTTTTTATTTAAAAAACGAGAAAAATAAATGAGAGAGTTAGGTAGATATTATTAAAACAAAAGTGGATTTATTTAGGAGTTTAAAGGGTTTAAGAGCGGCTGCTAGAAGAGAAAGGGAAAATTGGACTTTAAAATCGGCTTTTTTACTGATTGACTTGCAAGGATATATTATTGTGCTTGATGGGAAAAAATGAAAGGAGAACAGATGAGAAAATTAAAAATAAAAGAAATTGAGTATTTAATTCTTCTCAAGATTATTTTCGAACTGATTCAAGGGACGTCAATTTCTTGCGGGTAATAAATAAATAAATTTATGAAAAATGTTTTTAAATATTTTTTAAATTAGTAATTTAAAATTATAATTAATTCTTATACATCATAAATATGTAGTATTTAAAATAATTTTTAGTTTATTGAAATTTTTGCAACGCAAAAATGAGAAATTATTTTGATGATAAATTACTTTTGTTCTTTACATTAATAGTTATGTTAATGAGCTTTTCAATTAATGCAGGTATTTAATAAAAATAAATTAGAGAATTATCAACGAATAATTTTTTTAACTAATAATTTGGTTAACTAATAATACTAAAAATCTGTTAATATGTATGTAAATAAGAATAAAAATTAAAAAATAAAAATTAAAGAATTCCAATCATTGTTGATTTTTACAACAAGAAATGAAAGAGAAAAAGGTGAAGAAAATTCTCCATTATTGGATGATTTAGAATGGCATAAAATGAATTCATTTCAATCAAGCATTAATGGTTGTAATTAATTTAAATATAAAAAAATAAATTTAATTATTTATATAGATTTTGGACATACTTTTTGGAAAATATTTTTATTAAGAGGAGAATCAGAACCTTTATTTGTGGACATACAATCAGCAATTCAATATGATGATCGAACAAAAGTTATTGTTGGTTAGAAAATTTAAAAATTATTTAAAGGGTATATGTCTAGTAATTGTTAATTAAAATAATTAATAACAAATTTGTTATTTTCCGAGAGTTATATATTGTGATCAGTAAGGTC